ATTGAAATGTTACATTTCACACTAAATTATTTTTTGCATGTTTATATTTGACAATTTCTCAACTTTAGCTTGTGATACAGTACATGATCAGTTCTGTCATACACAGAAAATATGCCTAATGCCACTACAAGACCAAAGAGGGCGAGGCGTCATAGACGAGCTCAGAGAGATGCTGCAAGAAATTAGCTGGTGTCAAGATCACTGGAAAGTGCTCAGCAGTGTCTGTTCAGTCAGGACTATGGCACTGCTTTTGTTCACTATCTGCTGACTCTAAATCTTGCACCAGCTCTAAAAGACTTTGCAAATGTAAGCCCCCTCGTGCTTCCTCAGTCTCTTTACTGCACCTGTGTGGTTAAGTTGATCTAGCTTCAGAACCTTATTGTAAATGTGTGTTTTTGAACTTACAGGAGTCCTTTAGATTCACTCTTTTTAAATGGGCTGATGAGCTGGACTCTCTTGGACGTATCCAGGACCTCTTTGATTGCTATGAACAAGCTTTGGAGTTGTTTCCAGTGGATGAGGTTATAGTGAATAGCATGGGAGAGCATCTGTTTAGGCTTCTTTTCTTTTTTTCCCCTCTTTGATCTGCTATTTACATGGTTTAATCTGTGTAAAATAAAAAAGTTGTGTTCATCTTACCGAGATAATAAAATATAATGTTTACTCTACTGTTTAAAAGTTTAGGGTCGGTAATATATTTTCATACTTTTGAAAGAAGTCTCTTCTGCTGACCAAGCCCGCATTTATTTGATGAAAATACAGTAAAAACAGTAATATTGTGAAATATTCGTATATAATTTTTTAATTATTTTAATATATTTTAAAATGCGATTTATTCCTGTGATGGCAAAGCTGAATTTTCAGCATCATTACTCCAGTCTTCAGTGTCACATGATCCTTCAGAAATCATTCTAATATGCTGATTTGGTACTCAAGAAACATTTCTTATTATTATCACATTTGAAAACAATTGTGCTTCTTAACTTTTATCCTTTTTACAGGATTCTTTTGATGAATATAAAGAAAGTTTAAAATATAACTGAAAGTTTATTTGGAATATACATACTGATCCCAAACTTCTGTATGTTGTTCACATATTTTACACATTTCAGGAATTTTATTTTAGGTTTTGATGTCCTTAAGAATATATATTTGTGGTATAAGTACAAAAAAAAACAATCCTGAGTTGGTTTCTTTTATTTCAGAATGGGATTTCGGGATGAAGATGCTGGCCATTTTTACAAAGCCCTTAAATTCCGACCAGACTTCCCAGAGGCAAAGGAGAACTTTTATCGTGTTGCCAACTGGTTGGGGAAATGCTGGCACTTCTTAATGCTCAGTGACAATGGGCGGAACCACAAGTACCAGTTGGCTATCAAGAAAGCTGTTGAGGGAGGATGCAGCTCCGTTCTGGATATTGGAACTGGCACGGGCATGCATCCTCGGGTGAGATTTTTCAGAGGCTTATTACATAACCTTGTTATTAAACAAACGTCTGTTTCAACTGATATACAGTGAGTGTGGTTTGACGCTTTTTGGTTGGCATGTTAGTATGTGTGCAAAGATGGCAGGCGCTGCTGAAGCCTATGCCTGTGAGCTGTCAAAGACAATGTATGAGCTGGCATGCGAGGTGCTCTCAGCCAATGGGATGGCAGATAGCATCAAGATCCTTCATCTGAAGTCTCTGGACATGGACATTCCTAAAGACATTCCAAACAGGTGAATATTGCTTTATATAGTAACCAGATTTATATTGACAGTAAACTGGAAAAAAGTGTAATTACAGTGATAGTAATGCTGAGTTTTTTAGCAACCATTACTCCAGTCTTCACAAAACCTCAAAAATCATTCTTCTTGCTGCTCAAGAAACATTTCTTATTATTATCAATGTTGAAATCAGTTGTGTTTATTAACACTTTTGTGGAAACTGTGCTAGATTTTATTTTTTCAGATTCTTTCATTGATAGAAAGAACAACAATAATAGATCCTGATTAGAATCCTGTCTAATCTAATGTCTTGGCCCAACGTTAATAGCATGCTTGGCAAAAGATTACATACTATGCCGTACTAGAACCATATCCTTACTTTAAATTGTTAAAGCTTTTACCCGTACCAGTGTCTCACGTTATATAAATTCTGGGGCAACAGGGACACATAGTGGTTGTCTGAGAAACATACAAATGTTGGTGAATCAGTTCTAAAGTCATTTTTAGAAAATAAGTTTTTAGCAGCATGTTAAGTTTCCTAATGGCTGGACGTATACAGTTGTATATAGCAGCTATAAATTAATATAAACAGTTTGGATTTAATAGAAAAAATGATTTTCAATCTATTCCAACAATTGATTATTAAATCATCTCAACAGAACACTGGAGAACCCTTATCCAATCCCTCACAAACGGCCCGGGTAATACCTGCTGGTGCAACTGTGTTTTGAGACGCTGTGCAGAGCCGTGAGATCCGCAGACATCACAGGTGAGAGACTAAGCTGCTTATGCGTGAGTGACACATTGATAAAGTTTATATTACACTTCTCTTAACACAGTTACTAAAGAAGCAGGCTCTTGAGTATGATCTTAGAAAGATTAGAATGAACATTTAGTGATTGAATTACTAACTGACCTTCTGCAGGCTGTGTGCGTCTTCAGTGGGAGGCTTGGATCTGTCTGCAGTAGGACAGATCTATAGTCCAGTTAGATGTTTAGCTGATACTGAGGACAGCACAGAACCCTACACCACTGAAAGACTGAGCCGCCTGCGTAGAGGATACATTCAACTCACACAGCCTTTCACAGCTCTGGACATAGACTTCAATAATGTGCAGGTACAAAACTACAGAATAGAGCCGAGTGTTGAAATAATGACAATGCAACAGGTCAATTGATCAAAAGTTACAGTAAAGACATCTACTGTATAATATAAAAAAAGATTTATTTTTAAAATAAATGCTGGTATTTTGAACTTTCATCCAGGAATCCTGAAAAAAAAGTTGTCTGACTGTTGTCAACATTGATAACAATTGAAAAATGTTTCTTGAGCACCAAATCAGCATATTAGAATGCTTTCTAAAGCATCATGCAACACTGAAGAAAGACTGGAGTAATGGCTGCTGAAAATTCAGCTTTGTCATCAAAGGAATAAATTACATTTTAAAATATATTAAGATTGAAAACAGGCCATTTAAATTGCAATAATATTTCACAATATTACTTATTTTACTGTATTTTTTAATCCAGTAAATGCACCCTGGGTGAGCATAAGAGACAAAAACATTAAAAAATTTGACCCCAGATTTTGGAACAGTAGTGTAATGGAGACATACAGTGAATATGGAGCAGATGGGAGAGAAACAACACAACTGAAATACCTAAAGTGCCATGAGTGCAGGAAGTAGTCCTAAGCATTCTTTGTGTTGCAGGAGCTGGAGGGTCTTTGCTCCAAAGAGGTGACACAGCTGCGACTGAGTGGGACTCAGGAGGGTGTTCTTGATGCTCTGGCAGTATGGTTTCAGCTACACCTCGACCAGGTCAACCACCTGTCCACTGGCCCACAGGAAGACACATGCTGGGAGCAGGCCATCTATCCAATACACAGTCCATTCAGTAAGAGCTACTGTATATAAATGCAAAAAAATATAGAGATTAAGAAGTATAAAGATGACCATGACTCTTGAACAGTGGTTCTCAAATGGGGGTCTCAGCAGACTTCCAAGATGACTTGAAATAGGCATGAAATGGGATTGTGGTCTTTTCTTCCTAATTGTGATATATAACTGAGTTAAACGATTTTTTGAATGAGAACAAATGTAGGGTGGGACTTGATTTTGTCCGTCAGAGCATGTGTTGTTGCTAGGAGGAGGGGAAGTTAATGCTTTTGATTAAAGATTATGATGGCATGTGAATTTACATTTCTTTTAAAGAACATATGTACACAGATTCATTCTTGTTTAAACCATGAACACTGAACATTCATTCTTCATTCTGCTCTAGAACTAAAGGGATTTTTTTTCGTCCAGCGATTTGTGTGTGTGTGTGTGTGTGTGTTCAATATGCATCATTTGAAGTTATGTGAGTCCAATTAAAGGTATAGCCACAGTCAGTTTATATAGATAATTTGAATAATAACTAATTGACTTTAATTCGTGTCATCCCTCAGACACTGTGAAATGTGGTGATTAAATACTGGTGGAAGTTTCCTGGAAGGACTCTTATCTCAGGCTATGCTGCACTGCTATCATAAGAGATGGACATTGAACACACATTCCATATGGACAATGCAACTAATGGACCTCCCAAGATCCTCACTGCAAACCCTGAGGCTGAGCTGTGCAGTGCTCTGGCTGGCCTTCAAACCAACCAGGAGATACCATCTTGCACTTTTATGCTGGATTCCTCAGAGATGGCCCTCCTCAATAACACGGTGTATCATAACAGCTTCCAAAAAAGGCCATGAGCAAACTTTTGGTTTCTCTTAAGTAAACTAGGAGGTCACAACAGTCAGACACAGAACTCGATCCGATCTACGTGCTCGACGTCTCCGAGGGCTTTTCTGTGCTCTCCTTGATGGCAGCCCAGTTAGGCTTCGATTCAAGTGAAGACAAACAAATCAGCCCAGGATTGGTTCAAGCCTACAGCTCAGTGGAGAAGGAGCATCACCAGACTATGTTGAGACTGCTGGCCAAAGGAAACGGTGTGCTCGAAAGCGCACTGAAATTCTGGTTAAATCACGTGGAGGACGATTCTGCGCTTCTCCAAAAGGCCAGCCACCGAGAAGCTCTGCTGTACTGATATAACACACTCCAAAATCAGGGAATTGATGCTAATGGGCAATTATTTCATTGCTGTATGGTAAACAAAGTTATTATTTTTAAGATTAAGCACACATTTTACATTAAAATAATTTCAGGCATGAGAGTGAGCAAATGATGATTTCTGGGTGAACTATACCTTTGAACTTGGATGGAACGCAATTAAGCAGAAATACTCAAAAATACTCAATACCCATTTGCATGTAAAGTTTAATGATTCGTGACAACCACTGTTAGATTAGGCAATGCAACAGCTGTACAAACCATTGCAAAAGATGCATCTCTCTGAATGGATCAGAGAGACACACGACGGTTCATAAAAACAAATAAATGGGAATATTTCCCACAGGTCCACATCCGTCATGATAAAACGATCTGCCCTTACTGTTATACTATATCTGACATTTATATTTCATGTGCAGCTGCTGTTAAATCTAACATTGTTGAAACAATTAACAAAATGAAGAAAAACAAATCTTAATAGCAATAAGACAACTTTGGCTGATATTTAGACATTGCATCATTTCCCGAGGTGAACTTAAAAGTCAGTATTCGAAATTCTCAATACTTTACTAAATTGGGTTTTAAACCCAATTTTCTTTGTCTAATCATTAAAATAACCAAATCATAAAAACCCAATTAAAACCAATACTTTTTGAGAAGGAAAAAAGAAAGAACACCAACATATGCGTTTATGTTTTGACACAATTACATGAAGCTGTTCAGTGATATGGGTGCTTCAGTATTTTGTGCTTTAGAGCCAATGTTCAAACTGTAGTTGCTTTACCACATGCATACAGTATATTCTGCTGAGACAAAATGTTGCAAGTCTCCATGGCATCCTGGTAATTTCATATTATCGTCCATGATCAAGGTGCTGCTCCATGGAAGGGGGAAAAAAAAAAAAAAACTTAAATTGCATTTGCATTCACAGATAAAAATGTGAAAGTAACACTGATGTCATAAAAACAAACAACAACAACAAAAAACTCTTAAAATGACTTGATAAAACCCAGGAGGACGTCAATGACAATTTGAAGTAGCATTATCATTTCATTGTTTTTTTTTTTTAGAATAAACATTCATAAAGCTGTCTTAAAAGAACCATTGTCTGATGATGTGAAAAAGTAAAACTGGTATTGGGGAATTAATGTGCTTGGCTCTAATGTCAGTTTATAATTTGGCCATGTTTTCAGCAAAATAATGCCAGACTAACACTACCCAAGTCTTTCATATATGCTCTTGCTACCAAAGCTTCACTGAGCCTCTCTGAACACATATTAACCACAAGTATCAATAGTTACCAGAGTTAACGGCGGCTGCATATATTCGAAACAGTAGCTAATACACATTAGATCGATGTGCTTTAGCTATTTGGTAGCTGAAGCTCAGTGATGTTAAGTGATGGCTGCATAGTCTGAGCCTTGTTGGTCTGTATGATCACCAGATAGCACCTTAGGCGTGATGTCATCATTAGGTTTTGATGTCCTTAAGAATATATATTTGTGGTATAAGTACAAAAAAAAACAATCCTGAGTTGGTTTCTTTTATTTCAGAATGGGATTTCGGGATGAAGATGCTGGCCATTTTTACAAAGCCCTTAAATTCCGACCAGACTTCCCAGAGGCAAAGGAGAACTTTTATCGTGTTGCCAACTGGTTGGGGAAATGCTGGCACTTCTTAATGCTCAGTGACAATGGGCGGAACCACAAGTACCAGTTGGCTATCAAGAAAGCTGTTGAGGGAGGATGCAGCTCCGTTCTGGATATTGGAACTGGCATGGGCATGCATCCTCGGGTGAGATTTTTCAGAGGCTTATTACATAACCTTGTTATTAAACAAACGTCTGTTTCAACTGATATACAGTGAGTGTGGTTTGACGCTTTTTGGTTGGCATGTTAGTATGTGTGCAAAGATGGGAGGCGCTGCTGAAGCCTATGCCTGTGAGCTGTCAAAGACAATGTATGAGCTGGCATGCGAGGTGCTCTCAGCCAATGGGATGGCAGATAGCATCAAGATCCTTCATCTGAAGTCTCTGGACATGGACATTCCTAAAGACATTCCAAACAGGTGAATATTGCTTTATATAGTAACCAGATTTATATTGACAGTAAACTGGAAAAAAGTGTAGTTACAGTAATACTGTAATGCTGAGTTTTTTAGCAACCATTACTCCAGTCTTCACATGATCCCTCAAAAATCATTCTTCTTGCTGCTCAAGAAACATTTCTTATTATTATCAATGTTGAAATCAGTTGTGTTTATTAACACTTTTGTGGAAACTGTGCTAGATTTTATTTTTTCAGATTCTTTCATTGATAGAAAGAACAACAATAATAGATCCTGATTAGAATCCTGTCTAATCTAATGTCTTGGCCCAACGTTAATAGCATGCTTGGCAAAAGATTACATACTATGCCGTACTAGAACCATATCCTTACTTTAAATTGTTAAAGCTTTTACCCGTACCAGTGTCTCACGTTATATAAATTCTGGGGCAACAGGGACACATAGTGGTTGTCTGAGAAACATACAAATGTTGGTGAATCAGTTCTAAAGTCATTTTTAGAAAATAAGTTTTTAGCAGCATGTTAAGTTTCCTAATGGCTGGACGTATACAGTTGTATATAGCAGCTATAAATTAATATAAAGTTTGGATTTAATAGAAAAAATGATTTTCAATCTATTCCAACAATTGATTATTAAATCATCTCAACAGAACACTGGAGAACCCTTATCCAATCCCTCACAAACGGCCCGGGTAATACCTGCTGGTGCAACTGTGTTTTGAGACGCTGTGCAGAGCCGTGAGATCCGCAGACATCACAGGTGAGAGACTAAGCTGCTTATGCGTGAGTGACACATTGATAAAGTTTATATTACACTTCTCTTAACACAGTTACTAAAGAAGCAGGCTCTTGAGTATGATCTTAGAAAGATTAGAATGAACATTTAGTGATTGAATTACTAACTGACCTTCTGCAGGCTGTGTGCGTCTTCAGTGGGAGGCTTGGATCTGTCTGCAGTAGGACAGATCTATAGTCCAGTTAGATGTTTAGCTGATACTGAGGACAGCACAGAACCCTACACCACTGAAAGACTGAGCCGCCTGCGTAGAGGATACATTCAACTCACACAGCCTTTCACAGCTCTGGACATAGACTTCAATAATGTGCAGGTACAAAACTACAGAATAGAGCCGAGTGTTGAAATAATGACAATGCAACAGGTCAATTGATCAAAAGTTACAGTAAAGACATCTACTGTATAATATAAAAAAAAGATTTATTTTTAAAATAAATGCTGGTATTTTGAACTTTCATCCAGGAATCCTGAAAAAAAAGTTGTCTGACTGTTGTCAACATTGATAACAATTGAAAAATGTTTCTTGAGCACCAAATCAGCATATTAGAATGCTTTCTAAAGCATCATGCAACACTGAAGAAAGACTGGAGTAATGGCTGCTGAAAATTCAGCTTTGTCATCAAAGGAATAAATTACATTTTAAAATATATTAAGATTGAAAACAGGCCATTTAAATTGCAATAATATTTCACAATATTACTTATTTTACTGTATTTTTTAATCCAGTAAATGCACCCTGGGTGAGCATAAGAGACAAAAACATTAAAAAATTTGACCCCAGATTTTGGAACAGTAGTGTAATGGAGACATACAGTGAATATGGAGCAGATGGGAGAGAAACAACACAACTGAAATACCTAAAGTGCCATGAGTGCAGGAAGTAGTCCTAAGCATTCTTTGTGTTGCAGGAGCTGGAGGGTCTTTGCTCCAAAGAGGTGACACAGCTGGGACTGAGTGGGACTCAGGAGGGTGTTCTTGATGCTCTGGCAGTATGGTTTCAGCTACACCTCGACCAGGTCAACCACCTGTCCACTGGCCCACAGGAAGACACATGCTGGGAGCAGGCCATCTATCCAATACACAGTCCATTCAGTAAGAGCTACTGTATATAAATGCAAAAAAATATAGAGATTAAGAAGTATAAAGATGACCATGACTCTTGAACAGTGGTTCTCAAATGGGGGTCTCAGCAGACTTCCAAGATGACTTGAAATAGGCATGAAATGGGATTGTGGTCTTTTCTTCCTAATTGTGATATATAACTGAGTTAAACGATTTTTTGAATGAGAACAAATGTAGGGTGGGACTTGATTTTGTCCGTCAGAGCATGTGTTGTTGCTAGGAGGAGGGGAAGTTAATGCTTTTGATTAAAGATTATGATGGCATGTGAATTTACATTTCTTTTAAAGAACATATGTACACAGATTCATTATTGTTTAAACCATGAACACTGAACATTCATTCTTCATTCTGCTCTAGAACTAAAGGGATTTTTTTTCGTCCAGCGATTTGTGTGTGTGTGTGTGTGTGTGTTCAATATGCATCATTTGAAGTTATGTGAGTCCAATTAAAGGTATAGCCACAGTCAGTTTATATAGATAATTTGAATAATAACTAATTGACTTTAATTCGTGTCATCCCTCAGACACTGTGAAATGTGGTGATTAAATACTGGTGGAAGTTTCCTGGAAGGACTCTTATCTCAGGCTATGCTGCACTGCTATCATAAGAGATGGACATTGAACACACATTCCATATGGACAATGCAACTAATGGACCTCCCAAGATCCTCACTGCAAACCCTGAGGCTGAGCTGTGCAGTGCTCTGGCTGGCCTTCAAACCAACCAGGAGATACCATCTTGCACTTTTATGCTGGATTCCTCAGAGATGGCCCTCCTCAATAACACGGTGTATCATAACAGCTTCCAAAAAAGGCCATGAGCAAACTTTTGGTTTCTCTTAAGTAAACTAGGAGGTCACAACAGTCAGACACAGAACTCGATCCGATCTACGTGCTCGACGTCTCCGAGGGCTTTTCTGTGCTCTCCTTGATGGCAGCCCAGTTAGGCTTCGATTCAAGTGAAGACAAACAAATCAGCCCAGGATTGGTTCAAGCCTACAGCTCAGTGGAGAAGGAGCATCACCAGACTATGTTGAGACCGCTGGCCAAAGGAAACGGTGTGCTCGAAAGCGCACTGAAATTCTGGTTAAATCACGTGGAGGACGATTCTGCGCTTCTCCAAAAGGCCAGCCACCGAGAAGCTCTGCTGTACTGATATAACACACTCCAAAATCAGGGAATTGATGCTAATGGGCAATTATTTCATTGCTGTATGGTAAACAAAGTTATTATTTTTAAGATTAAGCACACATTTTACATTAAAATAATTTCAGGCATGAGAGTGAGCAAATGATGATTTCTGGGTGAACTATACCTTTGAACTTGGATGGAACGCAATTAAGCAGAAATACTCAAAAATACTCAATACCCATTTGCATGTAAAGTTTAATGATTCGTGACAACCACTGTTAGATTAGGCAATGCAACAGCTGTACAAACCATTGCAAAAGATGCATCTCTCTGAATGGATCAGAGAGACACACGACGGTTCATAAAAACAAATAAATGGGAATATTTCCCACAGGTCCACATCCGTCATGATAAAACGATCTGCCCTTACTGTTATACTATATCTGACATTTATATTTCATGTGCAGCTGCTGTTAAATCTAACATTGTTGAAACAATTAACAAAATGAAGAAAAAAAATCTTAATAGCAATAAGACAACTTTGGCTGATATTTAGACATTGCATCATTTCCCGAGGTGAACTTAAAAGTCAGTATTCGAAATTCTCAATACTTTACTAAATTGGGTTTTAAACCCAATTTTCTTTGTCTAATCATTAAAATAACCAAATCATAAAAACCCAATTAAAACCAATACTTTTTGAGAAGGAAAAAAGAAAGAACACCAACATATGCGTTTATGTTTTGACACAATTACATGAAGCTGTTCAGTGATATGGGTGCTTCAGTATTTTGTGCTTTAGAGCCAATGTTCAAACTGTAGTTGCTTTACCACATGCATACAGTATATTCTGCTGAGACAAAATGTTGCAAGTCTCCATGGCATCCTGGTAATTTCATATTATCGTCCATGATCAAGGTGCTGCTCCATGGAAGGGGGAAAAAAAAAAAAAACTTAAATTGCATTTGCATTCACAGATAAAAATGTGAAAGTAACACTGATGTCATAAAAACAAACAACAACAACAAAAAACTCTTAAAATGACTTGATAAAACCCAGGAGGACGTCAATGACAATTTGAAGTAGCATTATCATTTCATTGTTTTTTTTTTTTAGAATAAACATTCATAAAGCTGTCTTAAAAGAACCATTGTCTGATGATGTGAAAAAGTAAAACTGGTATTGGGGAATTAATGTGCTTGGCTCTAATGTCAGTTTATAATTTGGCCATGTTTTCAGCAAAATAATGCCAGACTAACACTACCCAAGTCTTTCATATATGCTCTTGCTACCAAAGCTTCACTGAGCCTCTCTGAACACATATTAACCACAAGTATCAATAGTTACCAGAGTTAACGGCGGCTGCATATATTCGAAACAGTAGCTAATACACATTAGATCGATGTGCTTTAGCTATTTGGTAGCTGAAGCTCAGTGATGTTAAGTGATGGCTGCATAGTCTGAGCCTTGTTGGTCTGTATGATCACCAGATAGCACCTTAGGCGTGATGTCATCAACATCTCCTTCCCATGGTACACAGCCAAGGTTGGCAGGAGCCGAGATGGAGTGGGGGGTTACGGTGTGGCCCATGCCCTGGTAACGGCCCTTAGGGGATGGAGGGGTGGAGGACGATTCAACGGCTGGATCCTGAGAACCAGCTGACAGCAGTCCTGTGTTCTCGTCCTGGCAAACCTCTTCACCAAAATATGTTTTCCTTGGCCGACCCATGACAGTTCTCCCTGAATTAAAAAGAAATAAATAAAAATTACATAAATATGACGAATAACTGTTTGAAACAGGGCTGGGTATTGACAATAGACTGTATAAAAACATGGACGTAGTGTCCGTGACGTCACCCGTAGTTTTCCGAAGAGCGCTTTTGAAGCTCAAAGTGGGCAGAGACGGCCGTCGCCATCTTGGCAGCACGTCACCGCGCGTCACACCCAGACAATCAAAACGGAGCAAAAGAGCTGGCTGCTGAAACCACGCCCACCTAGCTCGACGGTGGTGACAGCAGCGGCAATCCACCTGTCACTCAAGTGGCCACGCACTTAATTATGCAGAATATTAAGGCTTAATATCATTTAAACGGATGAGTTATAAAAAAAAATTCACCCCCCTCACAGTTGTCATGAAGGGCAAAATTAGCTATATAGACCAAAATCATTTTTGAACCAGGCTGTAAACATGTTTTTTTCTGCTGTAAAGTTGGGCATTTTAACATGGGGAGTCTATGGGATTGACTCCCTTTTGCAGCCAGCCAGCGGCCAGTTGACGAATTACAGTTTAAGTCACTTCCGTGTTGGTTTCACGAGAGAGACCGGAAGATTGGCGCTTGGTATTGACACAGATTTCAGTGATTCCTGTTCAGGAAATATTAAGTTTAGGACTATACTGTGCAAAAGACTAGTATTACTAGTAGACCCCTAACAAGAACTTATACCCGGCTATTATCTGTCCCTGCCTCTGGGTCAGACTCAATCGGAGTGTAATGTAAGAGATCCGTAGCAGCAGGAAAAGTATGTAAAAAGTAAAAAGTATGCTATGGACTGCTTAATGTAGATGAAGTATTTTCTAAGAATCCAAAAAAGATCCTAGACCCTCAAACCATTCACCACAAATAAGAAAAGACTGTGTCGTGTCTCACCGACATTGCGCACTTGTTCCGAGATGTCAGCCTGTATATCGGAGACATCCCACATGGCCAGGAAGGAATCAAAGCAAGAACCTTCCTCTGCTTCCTGTATGTAGGGCTTGTAAGTGAAGCTGAAGTGATGGGCAATGGCTGCCAAAAACATTTCCACACAGATGATGAAGTCCTGTGAGAAGACAGAAAAAAAGAATTTAATCCTTAAAAAAAACCTTAATAAAAACCTTTAATCTTAAAGGCACAGTATGTAAGTTTTCACCGCTAGAGGGCGCATATTCAAAACAAACAAAGAAACAAAGGCATAGCTGTGACTGAGCGTGGAATCATGGGAGTTGTGGTCTTCATCCCCACAACCGATGCAATCCGACGGGACTCGGGCACAAATCATGTTCATGGATGAGCTAATATATTAAAGATTTATTAACATCATAGTATGAAGCAGGGTGAGGCTGAAAGCTGTCGAAGCGATACAAGGCCGCATCAGCAATTGCTAATGAGAGACGAGCGTGACACACGGTTCGAAAGCAGCTGAGCTTTTATTATGCCACAGTTGACCGCTTCCACTCCTTCCAGTCATTCGTATGTGGGGTAAAGCATCGCTGTTTTATCATACTAGATACATTTGAAAGTTCTGTTATAATGCAACTCTGTGCGGTCGTCACCTGTCTAATAAAACGCACAACATATTAAAGCGTCTTTGGTGTTTCCATGTTTTCTACAAAACAAAACCGGAAATCGAGGGTTATGATGTCATTGGCAGGTGACACAATAACACTATAGACACGGTCCGTGTCACTAGTTAAAATAGCTTATTTCTCTGGATTTAAACATTCTTCGAAACATTTGGGATAATGAAAGTACACAAGTCAGCAAAATATATAACACTGTTCTAGTGGTTTTTGGATATTTTAATTAAAAAAATCTTACATATTGTGCCTTTAAGGTTACTACCACTTGTGTAACCAGAAGTCCATTAATGGTGCTGCAGTAACAATGGTACATTGTATACATGGTAAGCAAGGCAAAGATACATATAACTAGAAGAACAATATTATACGAGTATTTCAAACCGGTGTCTCACTAGCCCATTTCTAGTTGTAAGCCTCATTTACAAAACTGTGTTTAGTGTTGAGATCAAAGTACAGTACATACTTGTAGTCCAGTGGCTACAGCCTCCACGCTGTCCCAGTCCCAAGTGTGCGAGTCTGAGATCACACCAACCTTCACTAAAAGTGCAATGACCACAGCTTGCCTAAGACAGATAAACAAAATATTATAGAGTGGCATAATTATCATAAAAATGACGGGTATTGGGGAATTTTAATGTTAGGTGATTTTTTTTAAAATTTGAATATAAAATTCAAGGTCTTAAAAATAATTATATAGTACTGTCTATTACGATATAATGTTATAATGTCTATTTTAGAAATACTTAATTTTAGATTTATTATTTTTCTATAAAATTACTGTAATGTGTCCACATTTGACTTTTTTTTATATTTCATATTTCTTTTATTTTAACATCAATTAAAAAACTTAACCTTTACTTGTTTATAACTTAATGCTTATTACATCTGAAGCTACAGCGTATTCTAGAAAATTGCCCTGCAGCATAGGAATTGAACTTTATTAGAAGCAGATCAGAATTATTAGTGTTCTATCTGTAGAGAACTGTTTACCAGAATGACACAAAAACCACCAGCTTGACACAGAGGAATTTGCCCACAGGTTTGATAGGACTCAGCTCTTCTCTCAGAGCTTTGTAGAACAGCACAAGACAGTACATGGCAAACTGAAGAGAGAAAGTTCAACATTAGCACATTGCCATTAGTTTATCAGGTTATCGAAACAACAACAGTGAAAAAAATGATTCATAGTTCATGCTGTATAAGCTGTTCGCTGTTCACGAGCAGCATAAACACAAATGAGGGGCTGTAAAGTCTGGTTTGTTTTATTTCACAACAAATGAATTGGTAAAAACCAATCAAGATGGCTCTGTAAACAGGGCTTTAGTTAGATTTGATCTTCCTTTTACCTGAATGGAACTGCAGACTCACTCTCACGACATAAGATCATGTGACAGTCTTGCATAATATTCAGGACAAAACAGGTACTTACAAGCTGAGAGAGATTGTTGACGATAACCAGATACGTCCAGGCATTTTTTGAGCTAAAGTTTCCTTCATCGTAGACTCCACAAAGCTGACAAATCCTAATTTGGCAGGACAGAAATGATGCAAATGTTGTGCTTAAAAGCATCACATCAACATGTGGAACCATTAGTGTTGACCAAAGAAGCACTTTCACGAACAGAAATTATTTTTTTCATCAAAGAATTTTTCACAAAAATATTAAGCAGCATAACTGTTTTACACATCATTAATAATAATAATAATAATAAATGTTTCTTAGAATGATTTCTGAAGGATCAAGTGACACTGAAAACTGCTGAAAATTCAGCTTTTCCATAAAGGAATCAATTACATTTTAAAATATATTCAAATACAAAACTGCCATTTCAAATTGTAATATTATTTCACAATATTAATGTTTTTTTTATTGTATTTTTAATCAAATAAATGCAGCCTTGGTGAGCATAAGAGAGTTCTTTCAAAAACATAAAAAAAAATCATACTGGCCCCGAACATTTAAACGATAGTTTCTTTATATTGTGTAAACCCACATAAACACAATAAATATGTTAAATCTATATTATTAATCTCTACAAGAAACCAAATGAATGACACTTACAAAGCAATGACTGTAGTGACAGGTCTCACAACTGTGTACTGCAGAACTCCCAGTTTACATCTCAGCAAAAGCACTCTGTTAAGAAAAAAATCAGTTAAGGAAAATGTGCAGTTCTCAATATGAAAATAGAGAAAAATAGGCCATGAGAAAAATTGTTGCAGTATAAATGAATGTTTCCCTGGCACTGTATTACATGAATACATGACAGGCACTTAACAGAGCTCTACTGTTCTCTAAAGCATTTGTTTTTTTTTTAGTTAAAACACTGCTGGTTTAAATCAACAGACTTTTCACACATTACCACCACTGCCTAACGTAAATTTAAAAGCTGCTGCTGTCAGCAGCAATAGCTAAAAGCAGCCAACAACCTCAAGAAAGTGTTCACTCTGCAAGCAATTTAGAGGAAATCTCTTCCTGCTGTATTTAAAGACTTTCATATTCTTTTAGCACTTCAACTTTTTATTTCATTTCTGTTAGTTGCCAGGCTTTTCATCTAATATGCATATTCTATTTTAAATGTTGCCTTAATATTATAATTATTGTAGAAGTTCTAACAATTACAACACCATTGGTTTGACCTTTCAGTGTATTATGCAGCTTAAAGTTCCCTTAAATAGTTCATATTAGAAAATGTCCATTTATTGATAGCAGAACGATACAGATGTTACAAAAACAAAATGTTATAAATCACATTATGATAGATATATAATGAAATCCCAAAAGTGTCAGAAATTAACCATGAAGTTGTGTCAGAGTTTCATTTCTTTACCTATTAATATTCAATTTAACACATTTAAATAATGTATTTTCTATCATAATACACTTTGGGACCATATTAGACCTCTTGTACTAGAATCAAAGGAGGACAACAAGCGGGTTAACAACATTTATGAACACATTTGACAGTCAGCAGCTAAATATTTAATGCATGTAATTATAAAAAGACCTCTGACCCCTGATTTTTGAAGTTCCCATATACAGAGTGGAAGGACAACCAGGAGCAGCAGAATGTACAGCACCACCACCAGAGGCCGAATCCACCTCCTCCAGTTCCCGCATGTGCACGGCATCTTTCCTGCTGCCACGGATCTCTTACATTACACTCCGATTGAGTCTGACCCAGAGGCAGGGACAGATAATAGCCGGGTTAAGGTCTTGTTAGTTCTACTGCTGTGGTTAGGTTTAGATGCATATGATTCGTAAAGCCACGACTGAGATCTAGATGAAGCATGAGTGTTGTTCAGCGCGTCAAACAACCACCTGATTCCTCCCAATGCTTTCCGCTCCCACAAACATCGCTGCGTTCAAGAGCCGAGCGCGGCCAATATAAAGTCAGCGCACGATCATAATTTATCATCTTTTAGCAGATGTCATGTTACAAAACGCACATATGACTTCCAAAAAAGCGGACGAGAGCGAGAAGTTAATAAACAAAGCTGGTTAGAACTTCCTGTTGATCTTGTTGTCGCTATGGGTTCTTCGCCTGTTTTGTGAAACATTAGTATCATTCAGCGCCACCACTCGGATCGGAGAACACTTTCTTCTATAGGTTTTAACGGCAGTTTGCATCCTTGGTGTTGCATTACCGCCATCTTCTGGAGCTAATTACTTCCCATATACAGTCTCCTGTTTTTCATATTCTTGCTATTAGTCCCGTCTTTGTCAAAAAAATAAATCTAATATTGAATTCCTTGCCCGCTCCTGCTGCATTCCAGTATGTCCTTCAATCCATGTCTTTTACCAATATCATCCTTTGAATTGTATATTTTGTGCAATAGGCCTACACAAGCACATGTTACATTTGATTTTCAGGCACTGATCACAAAGTCCTGTTGGGTGTTTCCCTATCACACGAAGCTACTACTTAATTTACTGTGTCCTATTCTTAATCTGGTTAACCCACTTTTTATACTACCAAAAAGTAGTATACTTCAAGTTTATTTTAAGTAAAGTTCAAGAATACTTTATATAGTAAGTATACAAATATCAGTGTACTAGTAGTATACTTGTAAGTGTACTATTTCAATACTCCTTGGGACTAAATTGGCCCATTTTCTAATATATAAAAGTATACTTTTAAGTATAACAGTAGTACATTTTGAGTACACAACTAGTTTACATCAAAATGTTTAGTTTGTACTGCAACTATACTAAAAGTGAACTTATAGGTATACTGATAGTTTACTAATTAAATACTTGTAGTAGTAGCATTTTTAGTACACTTTGAAGTATAGTCTTAGTAAACTAGTAGTTTTATACTGCAAGTATACTCGTAAGTTTTCTTTAAGTGAACTTTACATCATACTTTAAGTACACTACTATGTCCCTATTTAGGTATTAATTTGTATATATTTTGTTACATGAATATCTGAACATACAAAACATCAAAAGAACAGGGTATCTGCTTGTAAACAAAAACATTTTATTCTAGCTTCATGCATTCTTTTTTTAAACACTTGAATGTGAATAAGTTTCATAAATAAAAAATAAAGAAATAAACAACATTTTGAACAAAAAGCTGAAAAAAGACTATGAATTGGATTCAGAACGATAATCAAAACGTAGATAGAGTCGATCAACACCCCAAATCTTGACAGTCAGTATTACCTCTTCATTGGTCGACATTTTATTTCATAATGTTACATAGTTTTGATACCGTTTTATGTCTGATGATCGTATTAGATTACGTGTGGAAGCATCTGTTGTTTCGGTTTCTTCTTCACTTGTGTTTTTTGGAAATTATGTACAGAAAATGTGTACTAGCACCCTCTACAGTATAACAATGAAAACATAGATTCTAGGAACACAAGTATAGCTCAAATATATTTAGACTTTTTCTAAGTATAAGTCAAGTATACTTAAATGTCATTTTAAGCATATTTCTGAGAAGTACATAAAAAGTAGACTAAAAGTATACTTTCCTATTTTTAGTTTAAAAGAAGTATACTAATAGCACACTTGAATAAACTTCTTTTTCGTAAGGGAATATAGTCTCTTCTCTCCTGTTTTCCCCTCTGCATTCCATTATACCAACTCTTTTCTTTAATGCATATAGATCTTTAACGCATATAGTCTTCATTTTAGTTCATGATAGGCGTGCAGAAACAATATTCGCCGCCGCATACAATTAACAAACAAAATTTATAAAAGGAGGAGATGGTCAGTGTTTTTTTTTTTAAATATATTGTTTCGACATGTGTAACTCGTTTCTTTGCAGCAAGAGGCTCATGCTTATATTCTCATATCCCATAGACTTTATACTAAACTTATCCATAAACTTATCCATAGCCTAATCCAATATTAACAGTGTTTTTTTTGTGTTTGTTTTTTTAATACAAGAAACAATATGATAGGCGTGCAGAAACAATATTCGCCGCCGCATACAATTAACAAACAAAATTTATAAAAGGAGGAGATGGTCAGTGTTTTTTTTTTAAATATATTGTTTCGACATGTGTAACTCGTTTCTTTGCAGCAAGAGGCTCATGCTTATATTCTCATATCCCATAGACTTTATACTAAACTTATCCATAAACTTATCCATAGCCTAATCCAATATTAACAGTGTTTTTTTTGTGTTTGTTTTTTTAATACAAGAAACAATATCAAAAGGAAGAAAAGGAAAATAAAAAAAGAAAAAGATAGAAAGACAAATTAGAACAAATAAAAATTACCAGGGGGAGGTAAGTATTAAAGTTCAAAACAAAGATACAAGATCTACATACATACATATATAAATACATACAAATAAATATATTATAACGTTCACATGCTTTCAAAATTCTTACCGCTTTCTTATTCAATGAGTCTCTGATTCTGTCAATATAACAGTTCTTCTGTGGCTTTATAGGTAATATTTTCACGTACACAATTTAGCAAAATCAGACAATGTTGTGTCTAATATATACCACAATATTAACTTCTTATTATTGAATTGTTGTAAATAAATATCACATTTGCAACTGGTCAGTGTTCAGAAAACGCTGGGAAATCACTTCATGTAGCCCCAAGAGTGATTACTGATAAACTGTCTGAAAAAAAGAAAGTCACGTTTTAAAGAAGAAAAAATCACCCACTGACTTTCAAAGCTGCTACAGAGTAACGACTTTCTACTTCGAGGACCTTCATAGAAATGTAGAGGAGTGAAAAGTACAATATTTGTCTTTCAAATGTAGTGAAGTTAAAGCCATAAGTTCCCAGAAAAAATAATACTCAAGTAAAGTACAGATACTCGAAAAGTGTACTTAAGTACAATACTCAAGTAAATGTACTTAGTTACTGTCCGCCTCTGATTAATTGTCATGTGTAGCTTGAAGCTAAGTGTAACTATAATTTCTCTGTTACCCATATATGATTATATGTTATGAAGTATTTTATCAAAAGAAATCACATAAGTTAATACAATTTTTAATTATAGTAATATAATTTATATCGGGATCAGAAGGATGTGGGTGGGCAAGCCATGTTGCCAGAGTAAAGTAATGCCACAACTTACACATCTGTGTTCAGATCTTCTTTTCTCATGACAAAATCAGTGTAATTACAATATGTCCATCCCCTACATGTAAGCTTTTCCATATTCCAAGCTTTCCTGATGTACTGGTGACTTCATGTGCCTGTGCGAGTCGTGAAAATTATGAAAATAAATCTAGGAATTATTGGATTGTTGGATTTCAAATCAGTAGGGGTTGAGGCATCAAAAGTAACTAAGTAACGAGATGTTTTATGGGTGGTAACTGTAATATTATTACTGAAATCTATTAGTAATTAGTTACACTACTAGTTGCTGCAAAAAGTAATATTATTACAGTAACTAGTTACACTCTTAAAAATAAAGGTGCTTCACGATGCCATAAAAGAACCTTTTTGTCTAAATGGTTCCATAAAGAACCTTTAACATCTGAAGAACCTTTCTGTTTCACAAAAGGTTCTTTGTGGCGAAAGAAGGTTATTCAGATTACAAAAAGGTAAGAAAGAGATGGTTCTTTAAAGAACCTTTGACTGAATGGTTCTTTGTGGAGCCAAAAATGGTTCTTCTATGGCATCGCTTGAAGAACCTTTTGAAGCACCTTTATTTTTAAGAGTGTACTAGTAACTATTGCCCTACATTCAAAATGCTAAACATATGAAACATGAATTTGAAAAGCTTGCGATACCATATATAGAATTAAAATAAAGAATGATACCATTTCTGTCATTCAACATGATCGTAAATAATTTTAGTAACCAGAAATGAAATTATATACTTTCTTTTCTCAGATTTTAATCATCTTTAATCATCTTTGAATCATTTTAATCAATGATAATCATCACTTAGCATTAATAGAAAGGAGACTAGTACATAATAAATTAAGATTAATAAAGATTAATATATTGAGCAAAACATACTTTAGAACTTTGGCCCTAAGAAGAAGTGAAGTGCTGTGCAAAACAAAAAGTGAAACTGCTCAGGCTGAAGATGCTTCACTAGATGGCGGTGTGTGGCAACACTTTCCATGCAGGACCATCCCAGTAATTCATTCGCCTGTTCCATATAAAGTGTTCCTGAACAAAAACCAGAGACTGTTTTCTTTTTTAACAGGAAGAATGCGCCACATGTTTTTGTTTGTTTTCCTGAACAACAGAACAGTCGTCAAATTACTGTTTCTAATTAAGATTCCTGGGGCGTGTGAGAAAAAAAGTTTTATTTATTTATTTATCCGTGGTAAACTAACTAATTGTGACAAATGCCATATCAGCATGAAAGTAGTGTTTGTATCCAGTAAAGAAGAGTAACACAGTACAGAACCCTAGATAATGTCTTTTTCTCAGTGGACTAGCCACTATTTTACTTTACCAGTATGTGCAAGTATAAAAGAGGTGTTAATACACACAGTAGGCTACCGTTGTCCTGAAAAACATTGTTTTAGTTTATGCAATTGATACATTTAAGTCAGAGAGCTCTTTTCTCTGCTATTTTTTTTATATATATTTAATAATCGAATGGTTAAAATCAAAATTGTGAATAAACTTGAGTGTGCAATGAAGAATAGCTGAAATTTACAAATTACATTTATTATTAGGTAGGCCTGATTTTAGCTCAAACAGTCTCCCCTTGTCAGATCCAGCAGTCCCGCAGAAGGCATAAGAGTGCAGCTTCACTAGCCTGTTTCAATTATCCACCAAATGTGGAAGAAGAGTTTAATTGTCTTTTACATGGAAAGTCAGCTATAGCTTGAACTTTCCATGATGAAGCAGAGCCAGGAACTTGACCTGTAAAACTCAATACTCATTTTCCCCCCCTCTCTTTATTTATTTATCTATTTATTTAATCTAGGAAGGAACAAACTGCAACAGCACATCAATAAAGTCAATGCATTATTTGTGGACCGAGGGAGATGTAGGCTAAAGTAGTCCTGAATACACGGAGGCAGAACTTTTCCTTTATGTCGCTGCACTGTCATCATACTGCCCCCCAGTTACAGAAATGTGATGGGACAGATTGTTCATGAATATTGTATTGATCCTTTTGGCTTTTATAAATTAGAAATCGCTCTTGCCACACTCGTGTGAGCGCCTTGTTGGATGACTTGGAGGGATAGCGCTGCAAAATGGCATGCGGGACTCTGCCATGTCGGGGCAGGGAAGACAAACAGGCGGTGTGTTTGAGAAAATTGGATACACATTTAAAGTTTAAACGCTGAGTGACGTCCATAGTTAACATCTCATGTGACTCCCAGCATGAGAGTTCTGCTTCTGTGTTGGTTTGGATTTAATTGTACGTGTTGGGCTAAGTGAAGAGAGTTACTCGAGTGTGGTTCATGGCTTTATGTCTTTGTACATGTGTGAATTTTGATCTTCATCATGAATTGGTGTCATTCTAGATGGATACCCTTAGGACAGAAAAAAATAGAAAATATATGTTTGATTGTTTATTAATCTCAAACATCTGGCCAACGATTTACGACAGAAATTGTGCACAAATTATTCTATCCAATCCTCTTTAGCAGTCAATTAAATCAAATACTCTCAGAAAATAACCATATATGGTAATATACAAACAAACATTAATACATATACCACTCTTACCACTTTGCTGCATACATTTCTGGCTGGTTTTGAAATCTCTTGCATGACAAATAAGGTTAGCTCATGCTCGTAAATAGAGGTGACTTCACTGCACGCTCTCACAGTTAAGACCAATTTATCCATAGATTTGATCCAAATGCCGCTGGTTTCTTGCCTTTTTTAAGTACAATATCAGTGGTGGTATGTAATATCTGAAATGTGTTATTAATATAATCCATGGCAGAGCACAGTCTTATGAAAAGGATACAGCCAGAGCTTATCTATGTTTGCTGGTATGGGGGGAGTTTGGCCTTGGAGAGCTACAATATCATGTTTTTCCTCAGAATATATATGTTTTGTTGAGAGACCTTAACTGAAGGCAGGATAAAGTATTATATTATATTATATTGAGGAAAGTAATGGAATCCTCCTAAATGAGTTAAATACAGCAGCAAAGTGATGTTTGATTTTTTTGTAAATGATCAAGTGATGTATATTGCATCAGCTTTTATTTATTTTGCTTCTTCCTTGGCAATCTCAGAGGTTCCCACCAAATTCCTCGGCCCTAAAACCATTCCTTCTTCTCCCTGAAGGCAGTTTCATGAGCACAAGAAAGAATATCTCAAACCTCGAAGTCTCATATTTTCACATTAATGTGATTTTAATAATTTGACAAGACTCTCAAAACAGACGTGTCTCTGTCCTCTAAATTCAATATCTAATTTCATGTGTGATAAAGAACATCTTAAAACAAACAGAAATATATATTTATAGTAAATTATTAAGTCCATGCTTGTTTTGGCTGGTGGAGTAGGTTTATATTCAGCTTAGATAATTGTGTTGCAGTGATTTTATAACGATCAAGAAAAGATTAGCATTAATAATAGAAATTTGTAACTGTTAGCACATATAACTACAAATAACAAATAATGTTCTTTTCAGACGAATCATGTCTGATACCAGACCAACAATTTGTCTATTGTGCTTATAAATATGCATAATCTCCATTATATACACTTCTTTATTTACTTAGAAAAATCCACACAAGCAAATAAAAAACGCACTTATTTGTACAAACCAATATCAGACTGATAGAGTACTTTTGTCCAAATAAACACTTGCTAAACTGACATTGTAGACAGATGATGGTATAAGCTCCACAGTTGACATCTAATCTTCTAGTATGCCCTGTTCACATCCTCTGGGTTGACACAGATGACCCAGAGGGGCCGTGTTGCCTGGTGGGTCAAAGTACATCACAAATCACTCCCAAACTAGAGCTTCTTCCCAGGCCAAAAACAGACAGCTGTCACAAGGCACCTCACTTCTTTTAACACTGAAACCTCATTACACTTACAGATAAGATAACATTGGCTTAAGTGGTGGAATCAATAGTCTGGTCCAATACTCTTAAAAATAACTAGCAGCTTATTTAGAAATTTTAACTGATGCTATAACAATCTATGAGAAGAAATGTGTTGTTTTAACCAGTCATTCATGATATGTAAAATAATCCATAGTTTATTCACTGCATAGCATATAGAGTAAACAGAGCTGTTTGTTTGTTATAGTGTAATAAGTTTAAATTCTTAAATATATATATATATATATATATATA